GTGGTTTGCGTGTCTACTCATAGGAAAACAAGAAATGAAGTGAATGAGATACTAGCTCGAGCCCAGCTCGCATAATTACAAATTTAAAATACTACTAATTTTATTTTTTTCCAGGGTAGTTGCCTACAAGTACCGAATGGAAAGATGAAGTTGAAGAACAATTAACTAATAAAGGCAATAATATTTTATACACAAAGAAGCCTCCAGTCCTTTAAAAGTTGTATCCTTCGCTGTGGATATTAAGTTCTCATACTACCCCAAAATCCCCTTTACTTTTGACAAAACTTTCCCATTTTCAATATTGTCCTTTCAAAATATACTGAATGAGGGAGACTAGTGGTGGTGATGGATGAGGAAATTCCTAAAACTCCAAATTTTGACGCCACGACTCCTTTTATCAGAATCCCTAGCACCCTTCTTGAATGATCTTATCAATTCTTAATTAATATCTCAGTTTTAAGGCCTTATTGCCCATTTCATACCCTTTTTCTTTAACATATTTTGCAGTTTCGAATCGTAGCATTAACTTTCTTGGATAAGTGGTATTTTTTTAAGTCCTTAATTAGAAACTACTCCTCAGCCTTAAAGCCATCGGATCACGTTGACCTACTAATGCTTCCTTCGTCCATTAGTGCCGTCATTCAAAAATATCACAGCCCCACAATTAAAGCAAGCCTCTTAGTTTTAGGACCGAAAACCTCTCAAGCCAGCAGATGTGGCTAAGAGTGGAGCCAAGGCAAAATGTCAGGGCAGGGATGCTTTTAGTGATACTCGGACGGTGTCACTTTGGGGTAACTAATGAAACTGAGATCGCTAACCACAGGTAGCAAATTACGTTTGTCATCGTCTTAATGTGCACACTGGACAGTAGGGGCTACAATTTGATTACTTCACAATTTGTGCATACGGTGCTTTGGGTAGTGTGTTGCACTTACGGTTAGAGCCACCGTTCATTTCAAATCGGTGCATCGTTAAAATTATGCTAAAGTTATCTGCATAGTATGAATTAGCTTACCTGGTGTAAATTAAGGACAAAGTCCCACCTAAATATGTAACCCTACGAAGTCACCTCGTTTCCGACCGTTCGGTTCCTTCAAGCAATTTTTAGCACCAAGTTATTTTCCTCTTAAGGCTCATTGGATAGAAACACTTCATGAGCATTTGTAATGCATTACTTACCTGCTTAACTCGTAGTCTTAGTAACGTGCTACGTAGGGGCTCCCCCATTGTGCCGCTGTTGGGCAGCCTGGCTTGTAGACCATCTCAGCAGCCACAAGGTCTACCATACACCTACAATACGTTTGCTGCCCAAGTATTATGCTCTCTTTCGTCTTCAGGAAGGGGCCAGGGCACTGCATTGGTGGCAGCGAAAAGCCAACCCAATCTTATAGGACATCCACCCTGATTTCTACTGCTGCATGATAAACCTCAGCGCATCAGATGTGCATTTGCTGCGCATGCGAAAATCTGTGACGACCCGTGATAGAAGGGCTACTAATGACGTCTACCTCCAACAACTACCCTACTCCCCTCCTCCGTTGGAAAGCTACTGACAACGGAAGCGACACTGTCCGTGGATCATCTGGAATGGCCTCGTTACGGAGCTACTTACCGTATTCGTATGAAGATGTCAAATATGTGAAAACGCGATGCCTCCTCCACTTCTCCACCAGATGGATAGAACCCAGGTAGACATGACTGGGCAACTCTGCAGTGAGAACAACGTGGCAATGAGGAGTGGAAACGAAACCCCATCCCCCGTGGAACTACATTCAATCCATCCTTTGTTATATGACTCCGCTTTGACGCCAGTGTTCCTAAGACTAGCTATGGACACACATGATGGCCAGCACATTCCTCCCTCCTCGAATTCACCTCTCATGCACGCTGGGACTCCAGATCCAGTGGAATTGTCAGGAGAGATCAGGAACGGTGTGGTCAAGCATCGCCTTAGTTGTATGGAAATGCGATGACTGGTGCGGTTGACTCGTGGGTATTTCTCTTACAGCACCTACTACGTTGTGATGGCTGATGGGGGAGATTGATTGAGGGGAGTGCTGGGGTGACGCTCGAAGGAGAGGAGGGGTTGTGTAATACGTTGGTTGTCTGTTTAACTCTCGGTTTCAGTGAAGGAGCCAATTTGGGTCTCCGTCATTGTACCTGTGCTGAGTGGACTGACATCCGGACCATATTAGTAGTCCCAGTCCCTTCTGT